AGAAGGTGAAGGATAATGTGTCAAGGATGGAGGCTCAGTTGGCAAAAGACGTTGTGCCTTTCAATTTTCTGACTCCTATGAGGATTATCAGAGATGCTATTTTGGCGTTGGGAAGTCCTGCTCCGGTGCTGGTTTCAGAAGGGGCGAATACTATGGATGTTGGAAGGTCTGTGTTGGTTCAGACCGAGCCTAGGACTAGGTTGGATGCAGGGACTTGGGGGACAATGGGTGTCGGTTTAGGTTATTGCATTGCAGCTGCCGTGGCTAATCCTGAACGGCTTGTGGTTGCAGTTGAAGGGGACTCTGGATTCGGGTTCAGTGCGATGGAGGTTGAGGTATGTGTTCTTTAGACTTGAATGTGTCTCTTGTATGAGTTAAAAATTATTTCATGTTGTCTTTATGCAAAACCTGGTACAGGTTAAACTACTCCAATTAGTTAATGATGAAATGTAATGTGTAAGCTTGCAGTGACAAAGCAGGGTATTGATTTATTATCATATAATCCTCTTCTTCGAAAATTAATTTTTAGTTTCATTAAGAAGTTTGGTATTCCATTTTGAGTCTAAATTTGCTGCTGATTAATCATGTATTCGTGCAATTGAAATAGTTTTCCTGTTTCTTTAGAATAAATTAGATCTAGTGCCTCCTAAGCTGGCAATGATGATGTTTCTTTTGAGGGCTCAGTGATCGTTTTGTTCATTATCTTATCCTTTTGCGGCTTTTGTGTTTCAATTTCCATGTTGGTAAAAAATGAATCTCCAGTTTTGCTTGTAGTTTCATTCAGAGAAGCTTGAGCAATGGAGATTCTTACTATAACTCTGGCATGTAATAGCTACCAAATCATCATATGCTACTTATATGCTATCATTCAAAGGAGATAGCTGAAACATTCGGTTGTAATTGTGCTGATGATTCCTCAGCTGATAATCTGGTTGCATGGGAATATACTTTACCATAGGTCAGTGGTCTGTACCATGTGTCCACCTTACTTTTGGATTATTTTTATCCTTGAAAAGCCCAATGTATGTCGTGGATGCAATGCTGGTCTTGTTATAAGATTAAGATGTTCCATCAAGTTAGCCAAATTGGTCATAAGTCAATTGTGTCACAAATTCTTGGATAAGAGTTACATAATTAGGTTTCCCTGAATCCTTTTTTTTTTTCGTTTTATGTTGATAAAACATAATCATGATTAGTAGCAGTGTCAATAGCTGAAATTTGGAGGTGTTTGATCATTGATTAATGAGGGATGCTTCTTTTTTGGATTTTGTTCATGTCTCATACATCTCTATTTTCTTCCTTCTCTTTTGTTTTTTACTCCTCATGACTACTACTTGTTTTAAAGTCTCTTTAGTAAATCTTACAATTATAAGCGCTCTTCTGGGCGTTTGACTTAAAAATGCCCTCAGCTTACAAGGTTATATTTAAATCCGATGTTTGCCTTTTCTAATTCCACAGACATTGATTTAATATAAATTGCTTATGGTTGTGATAATCTGCATGTTTAAATCTGATGTTTGCGTTTTCTAATTCTGCAGACATTGGTTCGATACAAGTTGCCTGTGGTTGTGATAGTCTTTAACAATGGTGGTGTATATGGAGGTGACCGGAGGAGCCCCGAAGAAGTTACTGGCCCTTTTAAAGATGATCCTGCCCCCACTTCATTTGTTCCTGGTGCAGCCTATCACACACTGATGGAAGCTTTTGGGGGCAAGGGTTACCTTGTTGGGACTCCTGGTGAACTGAAGTCTGCCCTTTTGGAATCATTTTCTGCACGAAAGCCAGCTGTAATAAATGTTACAATTGATCCTTTTGCTGGTGCAGAAAGTGGGAGAATGCAGCACAAGAACTGAGGTAGGCTTTAGCTCAAACATTTTGGCCTACCAGTTGGAATTTGGGAGCTGGTCTTCACTTGACAAATCAATAATGTCAAGGGTTCAGTTTGTTAATGCTCAGTTGTGAAGCAACAAATACCGGTAATTTGTATGTGATTTGTCTGGTCGACAGTAGAGGCAAAGTGTATATCCCATGGATAAAGCATTTCATATGTTGTTTTCCCTTTTTTGGAATTGTCAAGGTTTGTATGGATTATGAAGCAAGGAATTCTACACAAAATTTCACATGTTATCAAGTGTTGTGATGATTGGCAACAGCATTCTAATCTCTATACCTGTTTACCTGGCTTTGCCGCCACCCCCCTTGCTCCTCTAAATTTTGGGTCTCTAATGCAATTGAGCTCTTCTTGCTTTTGAAGCTGGCTGTTGTGAATTTTTGATGTTACGATGAGCTTATTTATTTTTTTATAGATCAAAATGTAGGAACCACATATGCTTTGGACAGAAAATTAAAATTTAATAGTAAATTTTGGGTTCTTATTTAAAGGGGCCCTAATCTCAACTCATAGTATCAAAGGGAAAGTAGTATGCTGCACCAAACATTTTCTGGGTAATCATGGTGGCGAAGGGGAAAGTTAATCGAAGCCATGGCCATGACCATGGCGGTCAAGTCTACACGGCGTGGCGCACAAACACAACCAAATCCTCGGATACTATCAGTTAATATTTTTAATTATTATCTAATCCTTGTATATTATATTTTTCTACTTTTGAAATAAAAGTTTGATAGTGATGGGCAATCTTAAGATATTTTAATTATAATTATGAATGAATGTTTAATGTCTTAGGATAATAATCGATTTTTGCTGTACAAGTCTCATAAACAAGAATAAATGAGATATAAGCAATTCGACAAATTTAGCTTTCATATTAAACATAAAAACAACTAATTATGAACTTCAAACATATTTTCTATATACAGTATAATTGCCAACACGATTTACAAGTGAGTAATAGAATTCGATTTTCCATATTATATGCTCTAAACAATATTAAATAGTCGTTATATGATACTTACTTGATAGATGGTATCCTTTTATCTTTTCTTGGTGTACAATCATTAAAATAATTTTAAAAAAATAAACAAACATAATATTTAAAAACTCATATATTGAATAAAAATTTTATATAATTTATAAAATATGCATATTATTAAATTGTGATACCCAACATCTCTTATCTGATGTGAATGTAATTGTTAACACCTATATAACAATCCAAGTCTACTACTACTAGCAACTTG